AAATCAGCAGGCTTAGCCCGCTTAGTCGCTGACTACGATTGTGTCGGTCTCCTGTCTCTCCCTTGCTGCTCTCCCTCCTCTTTGGTCTGGATCTCCAACTCAGTCTCCCTCCTCCTAGCATTGGTCTGCAGCTCAGCAAATGTCCGATAAGATGAGTTCGCCATGAACACCCTGATATCCCTCCTCAAAATTCCCAAGTACCGGCTCACACGTGCCTTCTTAGTGGGCACATGCTTGGGGCAGAACATCACCCTATCATGAAACATCCTGGTAATCTTAGGCACCGACTCTGTTTTCTGCTTGAGAGACAGAAACTCATGCGCTAACAGCTCCCTCTCCACTTGGGGAACATACTCATCTCGAAACAACTTGGTGAACCTCTCCAGTGTCATTGCAACATGATCTGCAGGAGTAAAATCAGTCATCACAAACCTCCCCCAGTCCTTCGCTCCCAAGCGAAGTTGGTTCAGCACGAACAAGACTCTCAGATGCTCTGGACATGAACACGTATAAAAGCAACCCCCAATGTCATTGATCCATCTCCTGGTAGCAATCGGATCCTGTGTTTATCAAAATCTGGTGGCTTTGTGTTGCTGAACTCTCGGAACAACACTGAGTCACCTCCATGTGGCCTAGCAGCGGCGACAACTACGGTGGCTGCAGCAGCATCAGCATCGGTAATAGCAGCGTACCGGTCATTAAACATATCAATTAGGGTGGTCTTAATAGACCCAAACATCTCCAGAATTACCTCTTGTATGGTTGTACCCACCTCCTCATGAATCATCATGTGAATCTCGTCACCGCTAGTCCCACTGCTCTCTAGGGTGTGGTGTGTACTCTTCATGATGTCTCTGAATTACAACACAAAGTCAATAGAGATTTGCTCAAGTAGATTCACACTCGTTCACTCACCCTTAATTTCTCCTTAGCATCCTAAAGATTCTTACTTGGGTTGCATATAGATCCGGTGTTTCCAGTAGTACGGGCCCAATACTACCTTCCACACCAACCTGTAGTCATCCCAAGTCGTCCCCCTAGGATTTTAATTCACAAGTACTCTATCTCTCATAAATATCAGACTACTCTCTTAGTAGACTACTCATTGGCTCATCTAGGTATCTCTTCCAATATTATCTCTGGACTCAGAACTCAACACATACTCAGAGAAAATAATAGATAACACAGATCAAAATCATCTCCTAGGCTAAGACATCACAAATCAAGAAACTCTAGCCCTAGAATATGAATTGCCTAGCCTTCCCTCTAGCATGAATTTCTAATATCTCATAAACACCTCATAAATATCTCAAAAGTAAACAGTTAAGGGTATTTTGGGAAACCACCATTCGAGCTCTGGCTGATTGTACACACTGCTCCTTCTTGTTTTCTCTTAGATTCTCTTACTCATTTTAGAAAAATCATTTCTTCTGAAAAAATTTCTCAAATCCTCAGTTTGAGTCCAGATATACACTCAGGAGCATCCGAATCCCTCAATCCAAGGCTCTGATACCAACTTGTAACACCGTAAATTTTCAAACCAATTTTTTTCGTTTAAGAACACATGAAACTCATATATTATATTTCATAAAATTATAAGTGTCTCAAATATCAACATGAATCCACAACAAAAGTCAAATCCCAGAATCCTCAACATAATCATTAAAAAAGTGTGTAAAATCACGTTGACGTCTTCTCATGGTCCTGAGAAGCACCTAAAACACATATCACACAACACGGTACGCACGAAGCTTAGTGAGTTCCCCAAAATACGAGCTATACAAACAATAAGCTTCTAGACAAAAATAGAAAAATATCTAATAGCCCCTTTCTCATTCCTTGCTTGAAATCCTTCCTTTCTCTACAAAAGATGTACTAAAACACTCAAGGATTAGCTTAGTAACTGTCTTAGCTCACTACCAACAATTAGGGTTTCACACAGGGGAGTAGGGTAGTTGGTGAGGTGGAAATGAGGACATAAGTTTCCTTAAATAGGCCCAAACCCAGGGATTTAGTGTTTCCTCACACAATGCCTACTCGGCGAGTCGGCATCTCAGACTCGTCGAGTCGGTTATTTAACCCGCGTGCTCAAATCCAACTCTACTCGACGAGTTGAGGCACCAACTCGTCGAGTTGCTCAATAGATCATCAAAATAAATAATTAAATAAATAAATACTTGGGATTCTGGATTTTACATATGCACTGCATCCTCATTAAATTCAAAGTAAACATTCCTAATTTCGTCTATCTTATCTTCATTTTCACCATCAACAAAAAAACTTATGTTCAACATCATCATCAAACCACCCATCAAAAGCAACCCCAATATGATCCACATAAACCGAAATTACACCAACTGTTCCATAAGCATAAAATATAAAAGATACATATTCCACATCATTTGAAATGAGATTAAGCCCTTCCATCAGGGAATTTCCTAGTTCACAGTAGTATAACTTTGTACACTCTTCATGCATGAAATGTTCGAAGAAGGTCAGAAACTCAAAATAAGACATAGAAGAAAGACATGGTTTTCACACCACTAGTGTAAGAGAAAGGATTACGAGTAAATACTCATTGGTAGTTGATTTCCACCATCACAAATAGTCCATTAGGTTCCGATTGTACCATTACTGCGACTTCTTTGGTACTTCGGATCGATCACAAAAATGCTTCACAAGCCTTAAATCAGTTTCATTTATAGTTGAATCATGAAGACAAGTGAAATTCGACAGCTGAAGACGACGAGTTTTAAGCATCGTATATCATTTATTGACGCGGCATATCTCATGTGGCACCGGATTACCAAAAAAATAAATATTAATTGACACATATAAAATTTCAACCGGGAAACTGTTTATAGGCAAGGAAAATGACTAAGCTGACAGATCATATACGAGTTTAGTGGTCTAATGTACAAAAAAAAAAACTTTAGTGACCAAATAAGATAATTGTAAAATCTTTAATGTGCTACAATGTCATTTTCTCAAGTTTAAACCACGATTTGAAAGTAAAATTTTTTCCTAACTTCGTAAATTTTTTATTATTATTATTTAAAAATTCATATATTTACTGTTATAAATTCTCATGTCAACGAAGTAAATATTTATTTTATTTTGTTATGTGTGGTGCCTAAGGTTTTATTTGCTAAACTCATATGATATGACTCAACCATCATATAGTTTTTCTTTATATAAAGATTGACATTGTCTATAGTAAAAAAAAATTGGGAAAACTCAATAACAAAATATGATGTTCATTAGCGTGTATTTGACTGGTTTTAAATCGGTTCCAATTTTATGAAACCATTTTCCTCTAATCTCTTTGGGTTTTTTGGTTTTTTTTAAATGAAATTAGACTAATATCACAAAGTTCCTATATTTTTGCCACCAAATTGGCAAAAGCCCTTATTTTAATTATTCGTTGACTGTGGACATGATATTTTAGATGATTTATCAGTAAAGGACAAACCACCTGTTTCACCGGTTTCAGTAGGTTACAAAGCATAGACGAACGTTGGAGGTAAGTTGTTAGCTAGGTTTTATTCCATTCTTCTCTCCAACCTCAATCATTCAATATGGTAAGCTCATCCAACATGCACATGCAAGAGTACAAAGAATGGGCTTTAACAAATCGTTGGTCTAAAGATTTGAGATGCGAGTGTGATGAATGTGCCACATTATCGATCTCCAAAACTATCGATAATCCATGCAGGAAATTCATGGGGTATCCAAACTATCAGGTAATATCAAGTTTCCTACTTTTATTGTGCCCTCGTTGAACCGATATGAAGAAGTGGTTGTTGTGCACGACTCCAAAAAAATGCGATTTTTTTTTATGGCTTGATCCACCACTGGAAAACATTTACAGCAAGGAAACTATATGGAAGTTTCATATCGATTTGGAGGAGGAGGTAAAGAACAAAAAATCAGTTGAAATGGAGATTTTGAAGCTTTCAGAGGAGGCCAAGAACTACAAAGAAATTCAAGTGGATATTTTAAACCTATTGAAGGTGGTGCTACTTATGATGTTCATGATGTTGGTGGTGGTGATTGTAAGGGGTTTTATGGTTCACAATATTGTGGTTAAAGTAGTGTGAAGTTGTGGGCATTAGTTAGGTTCAAGTGGAATGGTAGTAGTAGTTTAGGTGTAAGGGTATTTTGGTCATGTTAGAGAGTAAGTTGATGCATGTGTTATGTATGGTAATTTTTTGGTGTTGTAGGAGATGACAATGATAACAACTTATTATGTCTTAGTGATAACAATGTATTATATCTTAGTAATGACAATATGTAACATCCATAAAATTCATGAAAAATTTAAACTTTTATAACAACCCAAATATTGTAATGCCCGCAGATTTGGGCTAGTCCATTTAGAAACAATAAACGTCAAAAATGACTTTTTGATAGAAGATTATTTAGAACAAATAATCTTAACTAAGTTATAGTACATATAAAGAACACTAAAATCCAAGTTATAACGAAGAACTAATTACCAGTCGAAGTTTTTGGCAAAACCGGCATGACACCGGGAATCATAAAAAGTGAGTTTATAATAAATACCTTTTATCATTAGTGATCTAAGTGAAAGTTGTAGAGTACGTCTCCACCTACGCATTGATATAAAGAACGTCAAAAACGGAGCTCGTATGCAAAAGTTGTTGAAACAAATATTTAATAGATCGATAGATTCTCAACAGTAAAGTAAATCAAACAATAAAAGAGATGATTGAAGTTGTGCTGAATGATTAAAATCAATGCCTTAGAAGAGCTCGTTGAAGAATTTCTTTGTAAACACACAGTAGGGAATGACAAAACGATTAACCCTAATACAATACATGCATGCAATATGTATAATCTAACCTGTGGTCATAATGACGGATGGATAGGCCCGATCCGCTAATATTAAAGACTAATTACAAGCATAACAAAATCGACACAACATAATAAATGTCTCAACAAAATCCCCCTTTGTGTCAATGAGGAAGGAAGATTCTTCACTGCTGAATGGGTTTCTGAACCTTGAAAAGATTTTCCATTAAGCCAAGAAAGGTATTTCGAACAGTGATGTACCACTTAAGCATGTATACAATGCATTTCTTTTCAAAAATATTATTTTCCTTGCAAGCTTCAGATAAGCCCAAAACATATTCCAAGCATGAAGTAAAATAAAGGTGCTTGTCAGGAAAAAAGAAACAACATCTTTGAACATTCACACAGGCCTTGTTTCGTTCTTGGTATGCCATACTCCAATTATCCTTCAGAATTTTTCCTTTCTGCATATTGTCATGATCTTTCAGAGTTTCTTTAGGTTGCACAGTGGGTTTCTTTCTAAGTACCGGAACAATCTCCATGTCTATTTTCGCAATCTCAAGAATGTAAGAGACAAACATTCTTTTCAAATGCTCCAAAATCAGCTCAAATTTCTGTGCATCCTTCGAAAAAAGAGAAAACAGAGAAATCCAATAATACAGATTTAAACAAGGTAAGTCAGTGAGTGTGAACTTCAAGACTGAATTCCTTGATCCTCGATTTGCCTTGAAATGAACATTTACAAAACTCTCATTTAAATAGGACCAATAACCTTAACAGAAAAAAATATCTTTGAACTCCAGGTTTGGTACTGAGGCTTTCCATGTTGAGATTAAAAGATATAAGCATGAGATTGGCACTGTTGTCTGAATATGGAGCTTTCGCAACCTTGTCAAAATAGCGAAACAAAAACGCCTTCGGAGTAATCAGAAAATCAAGTTGCGACCCCAAAATGTTCTCCTGTTTGAATGAAGTACGTAGTTCCAACCAGTATACATTTGGATTATCTATAACTTCATTTAAAATACGCTCCCTGGACCATGAAGGGAAGAAAACTTTCTTAGTTTCCCAATTAAGTTGAGCATCACGAGCCTCTCTTTCTCGAGCTTCAGCTTCTCTTGCAACTCGTAGATTTTCATCGAGCTCTTGGTCATGTTTCTTTCTTTTGAGTTGAGGCTTTTCGGATAGATGTTCTTCTTCCTCTTCATCATCATTATCATCATCATCATCATCATCAATTGACTTTCCTCTTCTTTTAGATCCCAAAGCTACATTAACCTTCGCATCTTGTGACTTGGGTGGAGACTTCATTGATGTTCCATTTCCATCAGAACCACCAGCAACTGTTTTCTTGACTTCTCCCCCTTGTTTTAGAAGAGATCCAGATTCCGAAACACCTTCTAAATGGTTGAGCATTGAAAACATAGGCTTTAGTTTCTCAGCAAGATGTTGTCTGAAAGTAACTGTGAGCAAAGAGTCTCGAGTCTCGAGAAGAGTTTGCAGGTGTTGAATCACATCAACAACACTGCTTTTCATAACAGCCCTTTCGGATTTCAAATTATCAACTTGGGCTTTTGCATGAGGTAGGTGTGCTGAGAGAACTTTAATCTTTTCAGTCTGTATTGCGAGCTTGGCCATGAGGGTATATTCAATAGCAAGATCAACTTGAAGTTTCTCGATATTTGAAACAACTGAACCTGTCATATCTACATTATCAACTTGCAGACCTGAAAGAACTTCGGAAAGAGCTTTTTTTATGATTGAAGAACAGAACCAAGATTGGTGATCACTTTATTCGCAGCAGCAGTGTTATTCTTAGATGAACTGCAAAACTCTTCCATAAACTAAGTCGAATTTGCCAGTAGTTTTTTTTGACTTTCTCAGTTGTTGTTCGCACTGTTGACTATGAGTTTTCAACGTCTTTTGTAGAGGCTTGAAGACTGTCAGCATGCTCCTTAGTTAGAGTCTCAATTAAAGCTTTTGCTGACTCAAAGGAGTATTCATTGCTAGTTGATGTTTTGGAACACTCAAATAGAGTATCCAAGTTCTCATTTAGAGCCTTGAATTGCCCTTTTGTAATAGGGGCATCATCACTTTCTTCTTGAACGTTGAAAGGACTATAGGTAAAATCTTGGAAATCATACCTATCATCACCAAAAATTGTATCTGGATCATCCAAGGCAAAACAGTAGAGGAACCAAAACCAAGAGTAACACCAAAATCTCTTGCCCACGTATCAGATATGTTGACAGTCACTAGAGGTGAACTTGTAGTAGTGGTGGCTATTGTGGTTGATTTGGTGTATAATGGAGTAGATAGTGGAACCAAAACCTCAGGCTACGAAATTCCAACAGAAATATCCGGACATGGAGCAATCGTAATTGGTGTTGTTGTTTGAGTGGAGGTATGATTTGGAGAAGATGGAGGAGTAAAGCCCTAAAAGAAATCATTTGTGAAAGGAACAGAGGTAGGCATTGAAAAAGTTACCTCTGGATTGGTCTGAGTAGTAGATGCTTCCGAGACCATCGGATGAGAGGTCGCAACGGTATCATTTGTTTCATGTTGGACTTGCTTTCTCTGAACTTCGGATATTATATGATACTCCATATCTGCCTCAGCATCTAGAGTAGGAGACGTTGGCTTACAAGCAGCTCTTTTGACTTTCTTTTTCGAAGTTTGAGCCAGTTCGGAAGGACTAACCTTTGTTTTTCTTTTACCTCCCTTTTTGGGTTTGGAGGCCTTCTCCATTACCTTTCACATCTTGTCTGTTAAAGGTCGAGGACCTAATACAGGCTTCTTATAATACTCTTATATGAACTTGTTCTCTACTGGAACATAGTTTAGCATAGCTTCTAGAATTGATCCAACAAATGCGAACTTGGAGCGATCATACACGATGAAGTTTGAGGTATGGAAGATAGGAATAGCAGCAATAACCGAACCTTCAGCTACTAGAACATTAAGGCAAGTGATAGCTCTTTGAACAAGAATGGACTAGAATCTAGCACATGAAATATTCAAGTGCCTAGTGGTGGATAAGGTACTTTGAACCAGTTGAGCCTAGAGGATGGACCCATAATCTAAGTTAAGTCCAGAGTGTAGCCCATATAGAATAGTGCAGAAAAGCCTACTTGCACTGTCTGAGTCGGTAACTCGCTCTGAGAAGCTTTTGAAGAGAACAGTAAACAGACCATTCCTCATCAGTGGAAGGTCTGGCTTCTTGAACTTGGAAAGTATGGCTAGGTTGTCCAGATATCCCATCTAGAAGAACATATCTAGAAGTGCAGAAGAAGAGATTGTCTCTAAAACAACCAAATCCCTTGATTGAGAAGACCCTAGCAGGTGGCTAAATTGGGCCTTGGAAATTGTGGTTTTGATGGAACCAAACTCGAAAGTAATCAGAGATTCAGTTTGTTGATAGCGTGCAGTCGAAAATGCCTCAAATAGAAGAACTTAGAACACTATATGCCTTCAAATTTAGAGAGTACCCCAGGAAGATTCCTTCGTCTGCTTTCACGTTGAACTAGTTCCTCTGCTCTTTAGAATTGAAGATAAAACACCTGGAACCAAAGACATGAAAGAACTTGACATTAGGTTTTCGATTGTTTAGAATCTCATAAGGAGTTATGGAAATCTTTTATTGAGGAGTGATAGATTCTACATGAAACAAGTTGTTCCAATCGCCTCAGCCCAGAAGTACAGTGGCAAGTTCGCAAATGATAACATGGTCCTCGCAACTTTGCATAGAGACCGATTTCGTCTTTCAATGACTCCATTCTGCTGAGGATTATAAGGAGATGAGAAGTTATGAGAAACTCCTTTTTCAGTCAAGAATTCTTCAAACACTTGGTTTTTGAACTCCGAACCATTATCACTGTGAACATTCCAGACTAGCTTTCGCAGTTGAAGCTTGATCTACTTGATAAAGTCCTTAAGCTTAGAAGTAGATTCTGATTCTTGTTTAAGAAAATAAACCTAGGTAAATTTGGAAAATTCATCAACAATTACTAATATGTATTTTTTACCACCAATGCTCTCGATGGCAGAAGGACCACAAAGATCTGTATGTAGTAGTTCAAGTGGCTCAATCATTTTGGTGTTGATGATTGTCGAATGAATCTTTCTACTCTGCTTCCCAAGTTCATAGGCAGCATAAAGATGTTCCTTCTCAAACCTTAGAAGTGGAAGTCCTTGCAAATGATCGCCAAGTACGATTTTGTTGATATCCTTGAAGTTGAGATGTGTAGCCTGCGGTATTATAACCAACTGTCATCCGAAGATGTTTTCATAAGAAGGCATATAGCAGGCTTTCCTGTGATAGGATTTATATTCAATGAACACATTTCGCATTTCCTCTTGGAATTCAAAAGCACTTTCTTCGACTTCTTTTCGATAATCTTTGATCCCTCATCATCGAACGACACTTTCAGATCAGTACCTATGACCAATTGAGATACACTTATGCGGTTATGTTGTAGGCCTTCCACACAGGCAACCTTTTGAATAGAGGATTCCCCATTTATAATAATGTCGTATCCTTTGATTTACCCGATTGAATTATTTCTATACTTGACTCGTCCTCCATCTTTCAACGATCTGAATTCTCTTAATTCTTCTCTCCTTCCCATCATGTGACGCAAACAACCACTATCAATATACCATTCAGAGTCGAACTATTCATCACAAATCACCTATAAAAATCAGAGAGGCTTAGGAACCCAATGTTTTTTTTGGGTCCGTGAGAGGCTTTCTTATAAACAGGAAAAGCTATATCTTCATCAACCAAGTAAGTTCATTTCACCAAAATTGAATTCTCTTTTTTCATGATATTGAAAACTACAATCCTATTATCTTTAGGATTCTTTTCTTTTAAAGAAAATTTTCTTTTTTAACTTTAATTTGTTGCTTGGAAACCTTTTTCTAAAACTTCTTTTCCTCCTTTTTGAAGTGTGTTTCGGACTTCTTGAAGGGAGTTTTAGATTCTGAAACAACTTTTCCTTTGCCCTTAACATCTTTTAGCGTGTTGGCAGATTTTGAAACATTTGTTTTTGAAGAAAAATTAGGTTTTTTCCTTTCCAAAGGTTTCATTTGTTTTGAAAATGATGGTTTTCGAAAAACTTTGGGTTTTGAAACCTATGGAGATGAAGACTGTGGTTTTGAAAACCTTTTAGGATTCAGATTTGAAGAGACTTGCGCATTTGGATTTATAGATCTTTCTTGATGGACATAACTGGAACTTTTGAACTTCCAAAAATGCTTTCTTTCTTTTAGGTTTTTCTTATATCTAGCATTTTGTAGACGTTTCTTAGAAACAAATTCCACAGCTGACTTATGAATATTTGCCCTAGATTTCACTTTTCAAATAGGAGTGTCAGTCTTTTTGGATGACGTATTATTTGGAACATTCTTAGACCCGGACTGCCTTTCTTATAACTGGAGTTAACTTTGTTCAGTGTTTCTGCCACATATCTCTCTTTCGTTTTACAAGAAGTCATCTCAAAAAGTCCTTTGGTTTCCTCAACATTATCAATGGGAGCCAACTAAAAGAATTCACCACACCCATCAACATTATCTTCTTCTACAAGAGACGATAAATATGATGTCTGGTTTTTGTTCGATTCAGAAGTTGCGAAAACCAGATTCAGAACAGTTTAAACTTTCGGAAAAATTGTTGCCCTTTCTTTTAAAAACTTTAAACCTTTATTTTCAAAAATACGAACATACTCAACTGATTTTCCAAAATCAGAATTTTCTTTAGTTCAGGTTCACTTTTTAAAAATTCAGAGCAATTAATCACATCCTCCACAGAAATTTTGCCCATGTCACTTTCATCATCAAATTTAGATACATTTTCAACATCAAGAGTATTTTCTAAACTCAATTTAGTGCACAATGAGTCACATTTCTATACAGTATCAGATTTAATTTTCTATTTATCTTTTTCAGTTATAATTTGTTTCAGCATGTCCCTATGTTCTTTTCACTATATGTTAGTTTCAATTTTGTCTAGTCCAATTTTGTTTGAATTAGATACATCATTAGTGGGAATAATGGATTCGCGTTTTTAGCAGCCGACATCGATTTTTCCCTCTTTCAGTTCAAGAAAGGGAAAAATCATGTTGTGTGCATTCTTTCCTATTTCACAATCAAGATGCAATTGAGTAATATTAAAATAAAGACGTTTAACAATCAAACAGAAAATATTTCGTTGTTTCAAAAGCCTTAAATTATCTCATTGAAAATAAATGATATCATCCCCACACGTAGACAACTCTAACTCCAACTTCTCAATCCATATATGTCTCTCTTCACTCTTGTTTGTTACGCTGCTATTTTGACCAGTTAAGTTAGAGTTACTTAAACGGGTTATTTTTAAGCTATCACTGAAAATGGAAATAGTAAATTTCAAATCATCTAATTCAGTTTCGTACCGAGAGACAAGAATATTACGAGACTCAAGAATAGAGTGTACCTTGCTGATCATTTTCGTACACTCATTGATCTGCTTGGAGACATATCTCGCAGCAAAACAGTTG